GGTATGTCGACCGCCGTTTGTGAAAGCAAGAAATCCACGGCGATTTCGCTTCCAGTCACAGCTGCCCACGAAATTGGAGCATGGGACTTGCCCCTGATGTATTGGCGAGCATGGGTTGCCCCTGGTGTATTGGCGATATAAATTGGGTTTGAAGAAGGAATGCTTGTTGAAATCGACGCCCGGCTTCAGGAGAATACTGAGGCAGTCAGGATTCTCGGCCATAGCGAAAATCAGGGGAGAACCCCAACCAGGGGCAACATCCACGTCCAGGAGATGGGGTCCTGCTTGACGAGGTATTCGACCATCCACGACTTGCCATGTACAACCGGGATGAATAGAAGTGAGGGCAAAGTCACATCGGCAGGCAACCACCTAGGCTCATACTCGTATTTGCCTGGGGCAAGCACGCGATGCTTCTTGGCGTTTCGAAGAAACTCCGAGTTCAGCCGTGACAGGGCGATCATAACGTCAGAATCCTCGTCCGAAACAAGTCCAAGGTGCTTCCATCCTAGAATTGCATAACTCAGCAATGGATGGTCTTTCCTGACTTTGGCAACATCAGCGGGATATAACCACAAAAATCGTTGACTGGCAGCTTGTTTGTCTATACAAATATCAGTGTCTTAGCTCATATACGTGAAAGATAGCATCGCACCTTCAAGTTCGAGTTCTGCGCAGATCTCGTCCATAAAGTCACATAACACGTAGTAATCAAGAGCTCGCAAATCCGTGCGTGCATGTCTGAGATCGATTTGAAGGTGCTATTAGTGCGACTGACCAAGTATTCCTGGTTGCGTAGCGCATCAGCGGATGAGCAGGATGAAAAGGTTGACAAATGATACTTTGACACTATAATGGGATAGAGCGACGACGCCAGTTTTCTCGTTGTAGGTCACAAGGCTTCCGCACGCGCCCACGATATCCATAGTGTCCATAACGCCAAGGTCCTCGTCGAGAGTGGCCCGCCCAATCTCGATCATCATCGCTTCATTGAGCTGGTCGAGAGTCAAGGGGGTGAATGCACCAGCCAGCAAAAGTAAGCAACGCTGGGCAATCGGGCCATCGTCTTTTCCTCTTTCTTCGATGGAATGAATGATCCTGTCATACGTTTCATAGAGTCCTGCTGGAAGGTCGTCGAGGGCTTTCCGAATACTGTCAGGTCTTTTGCACGTCATGATGACGTCCAGTTGACACTGAACCCAGCGAAACCTGCATGTGATCATACGACGATGAATTTTTGAGGAGCGAGTGAATCACGAGACCACTTTACTTACATGCCTTCCGCTTTTCTAACAGTTTCTCCAAGATAGTTTTTTTGAGTGGTTCGGATAGGCGTGACAATTCTTCTTCTGATTTTCAGCTGCTCTGTAATGTGCGTGCATATATCTGCTTTCATCTGTTCTGAGCTATCCTTCAACGACAAAGTGGGGAGATCATGAAAGGCTTCTTGGATTTCTGGCTCGCTTCTACCGGTGACAAAAAGTCGTAGTCGAGCGTCTTCGGCAAGGTTTGCAAGATGTCCGACCAGGTCTGAGTAGTCCTTGCATTCGTCTAAGGCATCAATCACGAGGACTGGTCGGTGAACCAGCGTAGACGCTTCAACAAGAATCTCTCGCAGAAACCCCAGATCTGTGGGATGCGGTTTTGCATCGCGTTGTTGTTGCCAGAGGTTTCGCAGAGAGTCAAGGTTCCCTTCTGTGTTTGACTCGTGCCTCTCGCCTATCCTTGTGATCCAGTTGTCCTTAGATTGTTGAAGCAGCTGAACAATCAAGGAGCGCAATACTGCGGGCCGCGTTTGTCGTCCTGTCGTCTCGAAAATTGCAATAAAAGTAAGCGAGTGTTTGGGGCTCTGCTTTACCGCTATCGTGAATTTCGTCTACAATGGCTGAGCTGAAATAGCATATGTCAACATAGGCTCCGAAAGCTCTCCAGACGAGTCTAAACTTACGCAAGGATAGTCTTTTCCGTGACCAGCTGTTGCGATTGTCAGCGACCTGCAGTAAATGGCAAATGATAGAACTAACGCTGGCCGTTCAACCATAGGAGTGCGTGATCTGAGTTATTCCAAGCCAGAAACTGATCGTTTTGGAAAATCCAACGACCGGTCTCGGGTTGCGCTGACCACGGCAGGTGGCATGCTTATCAGTACAAGACACAGGGCTCATCCATTCAAGCAATTTCCGACGTTCCTCGGCTATGCATGTTTGAACAGGTTGAGGAGGAAACTGACAGTCAGCCACTCACCTTTCTCGTGCGCTATCAACCCCTTGATTCCTCGATCGGCTTCTTTGACTTCTCGATCGACTTCCTTGAGCGTGTTCCTTGCGATCGTATTAGTATTAGCGATCATCACAAGCAAGCAAGATCACCATGTGTCGATTGCTAAAATTTGTGCAATCTCGCCACAGTAGTGTTTCAATTTATCGATGATCACGCCTGCTTCCTTTTCTTTGAATGGCCACGTCAATCTGGAGGTCATCTTCATTTTCCCGCTCTCCCGGCCCTGTTCGTTTGGCAGGATGCTCTTCAGTTCCACCAGCAAATATGCAACTGGTCCGTCTGGCCATCAATTTTGAAAGTGCATGACTGAGGTTGGGTGGAAGAGAGCCGTCCTTCTCAATTACCATAACGGTGGTGAGGACGCCACCGACTGCGCTGAGCTCATTGAGTAGACTCTGACAGGACGAGTCGGCGTTGCGGACGGAAGCAACATATCCATACAAAAGAGCTGAAGCTTGCGCTACTGTTTGAATGACCTGAAGAACAGTGAGACCGCTGGTGATGGGATCCATCTGAATAGCGGAAAACGAAACCAAGTACCACGGCGACTTTAAATTAAGGACAGGCGCCCGACAGTCTATTTGCAAAGCTGAGGTCTAGAAGGGACTCATCGATGATCGATAAGGACTGATATGAAGTACATGTGGAATTACATAGATCTTCTTGAGTATGGGGCAATATGATTGAGCTGCAGGAATAGAAACTTGCACCCGAGAGTAGCCTGAGAGCCCCGATGATCATCAACATGATGCCAGGAAGCACACTATGACGCACCCTTTATTTGCGAGCTTGGAAGTACCCGAGCCTTTTTGGGTTGGATGCCCCCAAAAGGGCTCAGGCGCCCTTCTGAAGGGTCAAACACGAACCCGCTAGCACTACGGCCCTCCAACTCCTGACACCAGAAGGGGGCACCGAACCCGGGCCTTCTCCAACTACGCCCACACCCTTGCCCATCCTCTTCTAAGATTTGGCCTCCCCCACCCCCCACCCACCCCACGCCCTGGCATGCACCCCTTAAGCTTGATCGATGACCTCGGGCCAACTTTCAGATCACGCGTCTGAATATTTAAAGAGTGCGCAGAGGATATATGGAGGTGGGTCGAGAAGAGCGAGAGTAGACCATATTTTGCAAACGACTGTTCTGACGAGTTAGAGTAGTACATCGTCAAAGAGCACTACAACCGCTCCCTCGAGCACACTCGCAAATGAGCAAAGTAGACACAGCGCTGGTGGTGAGGCCCGACATCTAGACAGTAAAAAACGCAACCCTGGCAGCATTGCGTTAAATCGACGACAAGCGCCCATTGACCTATTTGTCAATTTGAGACCCTGCATTGGCGCCTATTGAAGATGATCGATAAGACTGATATGAAGCACATGAGCACAAAGCAGGAGCCATAGTGAGAATATCTCCCGAGGGCCCAGGTTATTGGGTGCATCTGGATTCTGTTGTACTTCTTATTCGATGAATGGCAGCACGAGGTCAAAAGCGCGCAGCAGAACTACTCACTGATAGTTGCCAAGGTTCTGCAGTATCGCAAACTTGGGCTACCCTCAAAAATTGAGCTTTGTGTCACTTCTGCAAACCGATCCCATCACGATCTCTTTGCAACTTGTTATTTATGTCAACCGCAGGGCCAGGTGGCAGGCAGTGGCCTTGAAATAGAACGAGAGAACCAAATGATCGACTCGGTTGAATGCAAAACACTAGAGTCCCCAAAGGCTCCTAGCTTCGCGTTACTAGCAGCCTGAATGAAGAGGTTGTCGACGATTAAAAAACCGCTACCCCAGAAACAGCGAGGTTCGACCACGAGCACCACTGAATAGTCCTTCTATATGGCGATACAGATCGACCTCACTGGTGTATTAGATTCAGAGTCCAACCAGACAAGGAGTCTCAGACTACTCTGTTTACGGACAAAAGGAACTGCATAACAAAAAACACATAGAACTTAGGGTTAGGGTTATAATTTAGGAGGATCCTGGCAAAAAGAGCTGATTGACGCGTCCACGCGACTTCGGACGCGTTCTTGTTCTTCTCAATACTCACTCCACTATCCAATTTTCTCAAAAGAATGACTGACGTCGAGGGCTCGTCAGCCCCACGACGCTCTCAGCGCGGTAAAAAACAAGTAAAACCCTATGCTTCAGGTTCGTGCTCCTTCATCTTTCTCATTGGCACCGTTGATTCGAGATACACGAGTAGGGAGCCAAAGTCCGAACAAGCGCAAACGCAATGCGGAGGAGGACGACCAGGTAGATACACAAGAAATGAGCGATGTTGAGGTTGAAGCAGACGATGAGGATGATGCCGACGGAGTTGACGACGACGGTGATGATGAACCGGACACCCGCCCAGCCAAACGAAAGGGAAAGGCCACTGCGCCACGTAAAGCAAAGGCAAAAGCTAAGGGCCCTCCACCTCCAAAGAAACCACGAACGGCAAAAATTACTGGACCAAAGCCTCAGAAAACCCCTAAACCACTCAAACGTAAAGCTAAAGCTAACGGAGACTTTGATGCAGACAAGCTGGCGACCGAGACCAAGATTTCTGCGGATAATCCTCTTTTCAGTGCGTATGAACCAATTATCTTGTATTTGCCTTGTTCATGTCTTTTCTGTAGACGCTATCATGAACCCGTCCGCGGCGCTGCAGTCCACCGCAGAGGACTTTTTGGACTCATTAACCCAGAGTCCGGGTGCTGCTCAGGCAGAACTTATCAACTGTATTCTACGCGCATGTGGGTGCAATGACTCAGTGGATGCAGACGAAGTTCTAGACTATGACGGTGTTGTCGACTCGCTTGATAACTTTACTGAAGGACTGAAACAGGTACGAGCAAGACACTTTGAATCATAAGCCATCGCTTACACTACCTAGGAAAATTCGCCAATATACCCTCTGACATCCAAGTTGCCAATTTTCAAGCGTTTCCGAGCGTCTTTGAGTGAGCTGATCTCACGCCTGGTTCTGAGCGCGGCCGACGTCGGAGCACTGTACACGAGTGATATGGTAACGACACTGCAAACCTGGGTCGTTGCGATGAGCAGTTCACAGATTCGAGCGTTTCGGCACACAGCAACAGCAGTCGCACTGGAGGTGGAGACCGCGCTGTGTCAAGTAGCAGCAGCAGTTGAGAAAGAGGCGGAGATCGTCGGGCGACAGCGCGAAGGAGAACGGAAGAGACGGGCAGCAAATAAAGCCCAAAATGTGAAGGAGAAAGACTTGGACGGCAAGGCGGCAGAGGTGAGGAAACGTCGGGCTGCCCTGGCAGAGTATCTGAAGGAGATCGTGGATGGGTAAGCGTCTTATTTACTCTATTCACTCTAGATCCTTTAACTGATGCCTTCTTCCCAGTGTCTTCGTGCACAGGTACCGCGATCTTGATCCGCATATCCGCGCTGAGTG